CCATTATTAGTGTAGTATATTATTATATCCCATGTAATTAGTATATTAGTATATCGCTATTAACCTATTTTGCGTTGAATTTTCATCGATGTTAAGCCTAACAAAAATTTTTTAAAATAATAATCGTCGCTATTGTATCGTTAAAAATTAGAAAATTAAGCCTCGTTTAAATACTGGCTCCCTTTCATGGTCGAGCAGTGTTGCCAGCTAAAACACGTAAAAATAATATTAAAGTAGCCAAGACATAGCCAAATATTGTAGCGCCACATCACTAGCGGACATTTGAAATTTGCGGACTAGGACGGTCGGTTAACCGAGATGTCGGTTAATCGGGGGTCGGATAATCGAGGCTTTACTGTATTTAATATCATAAAAATCAGACGAAACGTAACTTTCACGAATTATTTTTTTATATACATTAAACATAATTAATTCTAGTTGTCTACATATATACGAGGGGTGAGCATTTACCGGCCTGGCAAAAACTTATTATTAACCGCAACGATAGCACTTCTCTCATTGTCGAAAATGACTTCCCAGACCCTTCTGATGCAGAGGTACAACTCAGGAAAAATGTAAGTTGGAGTTAGAGTATTTCGAGAAAGACAAATGGCCGGAGGTAATAGAAAACATTCTTTATTACCTACAGGTTTTCGTTCAACAAAGGGAAGATAAGTCAAAACACGAAAACAATTATGAGTTTTGATTCATTAGATATGCGTTATGTATCATAAGTCTATTTTTGTTACGTTCTACTAAACCGCTTCGGTTACGCTCTGCAAATTTTATTTAGTTATCGTCTGAGTATCTGTCCCCGTCAGAATCGTTGACACCGTGTTTCAAACCCGGGGATAAAGCGAGTGTCTTATGGCATTGTTGTTTTGAATAAATAAAATACGCAGAATAATTTTTTATTAATAGAAAATAGTTTTAAAGATTTCATTTTTTGTTTATAAAAATAACATTAATTTTTTAATAGAAACTACTAGAGGCCCCGAAACTTTTTTAGGATCCGGGAAAAATTCTCCGCTTTCCCCCTTTCGGCGGTCCTATCTTCCAAATCTGTTCTTGTTACAATTGTTTTTTACCTATCCTTCAGATCCCTAGCTACAAGGAATTCGATGTGACTAAACTCCCTCAAGCTTAGATGGCAGTGCACATATGCGATAAGTACTCGTATAACGTATATGCAGATACATAGCCAAACTATCGTCTTAAATACTCGGGCTATAAATCAGTTAATTTTTAATACTAAATAATTTGCTACTAGAGCCATCTTTCATCTAAGTTAATAATTAAATAAATAATTTAGAATCATCCGGAAGAAAAGAACTTGACGCGGGTTTGAACCCATAACTTCCGCTTGCCAGTTGCGCCATCCAAACACGGTGCAACCCATCGCTTGCAGATTTATTTGAATTTAGATACTGTATAACCTTACGCGGTTAAACACGTATTTAAAGCGATCGTTTGATTATGTATCTACAGTATTTATATATCGGGCTTTGGGTTGTTTAATATACTTATATGCTTTCGCTTTCAAATAGATTTAAACTACAGTTACGGTTTTTTACACTGGACTGTATCTATTAGGTCTATTTCTGGCTAGAAAAGATAAAACAATACTAATCCTAATTTTTTCAGCTTGCCTATGTAGTCCTGCAGTGATTTATTCCTGGCTACAAGACTATTGTTCCTGTTGTTTTGCAAATCTGGTTTCGCTATGTTCTCTACCTGTTTCAGTCACGTTCTTCATAATTGCATTGGTTACGGTCTCTGCATTTGTCTCTGTACCGTTCCGAAACTTGCTCCTGTTACGTTTTTCGAATGTGTGTCTGTACCGTTCTCGAAACTTGTTCCTGTTACGTTTTTCGAATGTGTGTCCGTACCGTTCTCGAAACTTGCTCCTGTTACGTTTTTCGAATGTGTGTCTGTACCGTTCTCGAAACTTGTTCCTGTTACGTTTTTCGAGCGTGTGTCCGTACCGTTCTCGAAACTTGCTTTTGTTACGTTTTTCGAATGTGTGTTTGTTCCGTTCTCGAAACTTGTTCCTGTTACGTTTTTCGAACGTGTGTCCGTACCGTTCTCGAAACTTGCTTCTGTTACGTTTTTCGAACGTGTGTCCGTACCGTTCTCGAAACTTGCTCCTGTTACGTTTTTCGAATGTGTGTCCGTACCGTTCTCGAAACTTGCTCCTGTTACGTTCTTCAGATCTCTTTCTTTTACGTTATCCGGATCGGTTACGTTTTCTAGAAAAGTTCCTGTTACGCTCACGACGTTCACTTTTGACAACTCCCTCATGTTCGCTACATTTTCGATCGTCTTCACGTTCACTAAATTAAAAACCAAATTCTCAGCCGATTTCAGTTTAGAGCAGACGGGTAACGCGAGCGAAGTCTGAAAAACACATTTTTAAAAAGTATGTAAGATTTTTTTAATGCATATTTCGTTTAAATTACGCGAATAAATTTAATAAAATAAAATTAGTAAAAGCGAATTCTGAATGAGCAAATTAAAGAGAATTGTTCAACTAAAGAAATGAAATAGAACAGCCGAATTTAGCCAAAAATGTTTGTGTAGTCTAATTAAAGTGATAAATGCCATGTGTAAAACACTACACGAAGGATCGGTACAGAAGAAGCTGTTCACAAGATAAAGGATATTATGTGGGACAAAATATAAATGAAGAAAGAATGAAACAAAGAGTATTGTTAAGAGTAAGAAAAAATGAAGGAATAGAAAAAATGGAAATAAAGAAAAATATTCGTTATTAATAATAAACAGGATAAGAATCAAATGGCGTTGAAAGACACCAAATGGAAATACTTCTCAAAATGTACGAAAAAAAGAAAGCAAATATGAATATATTTAAGAGATTGGCTCTTTTCTCTCTTCTGCCAGCGAATGAAAAATCAGTCATTGACACCCCACATAATGCTAACGCTTAGTGCGCTTCTAGGGTTGAATTTACATTAAACCCCTACTCAGCGAGAATATTATAGTCTACTCGATACGAAACTGTATTTTTCCTACTGTATAAAATACGGTAGTACTTGGGTTTTCGTTGATTTTTTTCGCGAAAAAATTGTCTCGGTTTTCATCAGTTGCCTCGGATTTTGTTGGCATGCTCATGTGACTTCCTGTTAATTTTGCGAAAACGTAGGGCGACCACGCGTTTTCCTGCTCACTGTGGCTTTGTTTCTCGTTGTGTAAACATTACCCGCGCGTCTAGCCAAACAATTTCATTGCTTTCCTTTCCTTTTAGCTCCACCGTCGGATCAAAAAAAGTTTCCAGAGCCAGCAGTCCTTCGAATGCCATGTTAAAAGCTATGTTAAATGTTCATTTATTTTTTTACATTAGATTTTTATATTCATTTCATATTAATTTCTTATTGTTTTTAGTATTAAACACAATATTTATTCTCTATTAAATGTGTTTTTCGCATGTATTTTGAAGTGTCTAGAACGAATTAATTGGATTTACATTGATTCGTATGGAAATAATTGTCTGAGTTTTCGTCGGTTTCGAATTTTGCCGATTGTTTTCGGACAGATTATCGACGAAAACCAAGGTATCACCGTATAGCCAAGTCTCGTATAACGGTATGCGTTTTCTTCTTCGACGTCTGGGCCTAGATTTAAATTTGCATAAAATCATCTGATAATGCGAGTCTCGATAACGCGATTTCCTATAACACGTTTTACGTATCCCTCGCGTTGTACCGAAGTTTAATTGAAATCGTTACAATACGTTTTCCGTCACGAAAAAAGAAGGGGAAAAAACAGAATAGAAACGGCAGACAATGGACAAAATAATGTTTATGACAAACGTTATACGAAAAATGTAATAATAATTCGCATCATAATTCGGTACTTTATTTTACTGTGGACGCATTACCTTCTCGCTATGGCTGTGTACATATTAGGCGTTTTTAAACGCGCGCTTTGGTAACGCGCGTTGATAGATTTTGGTTAGAACGCGCGTTTCGCGGACATCAGCCGCGCGCATTGAGATACACGTGCTGCTATTTTGTTGTACATTCGATCGCGCGCTTTCGGGTAGAGTGGACGTACGTTGGCCGAAATGGAGAACGATCATTTCTATATTAATCTATTTATTGATGAAATCTAAATGAGACCAGTCGTTGTCAAATGGTTTTATAGACATTCTAAAATAATTAAAAAACTTGGGTTCGTATTGTCTTAGTTTTGGATACAACGTCACAAACATTCCACGCGTCAGTGTATCTCGTAATATTGGGTGCACCCAAAATTCTCTTTGCTTCTGCCATCGTCTTTTATAGCGACGATGGAGGAGGCACACGCGAGCAATTACTTTTACGTCCATTTCCAAACTGAGCCAGTGCGAGCGGTCGTCGAACGACGAGCTAAACGCGCGGTGTGTACGCTGCTAACGCGCGTTTAACGCAACGCAAAACGCCTAATGTGTACACAGCCTATATCTACGCATCGACTTTGTTCTTTATTCTGCGAGGCTGTGGACTACTTAAGAAATTAAGAAAACCCGCCATCAATTTTCAGTGTTCGCTGGCTTATATCTACTCGGCCACTTTATCTACTAGAGTAACTAGACTGAACATAAACGTTGTATAGTCTTAACTATACAGTAGAGCCTCGATTATCCGACTCAATTGGGGACTGGGGTTGGTCGGATAATTGAAAAGTCGGATAACCGAAAAGTATGAAAAAATCCATTATTATTGTAGTATATTATTATATCCCATGTAATTAGTATATTAGTATATCGCTATTAACCTACTTCGCGTTGAATTTTTTTCTATGTTAAGCCTAACAAAAATTTTTTAAAATAATAATCGTCACTATTGTATCGTTAAAAATTAGAAAATTAAGCCTCGTTTAAATACTGGCTGCCTTTCGTGGTCGAATGAGCGTTGCCAGTTAAAACACGTAAAAATAATATTAAAGTAGCCAAGACATAGCCAAATATTGTAGCGCCACATCACTAGCGGATATTTGAAATTTGCCGACTAGGACGGTCGGTTAACCGAGATGTCGGTTAATCGGGGGTCGGATAATCGAGGCTCTACTGTAATTGTTTTCCTTTGTTTTCCAAACATTCCATTAGAAGAATATAGGCCTTAACCAGTTTTAAGTTATTTTTAATACGTATTTGTAAATCAAATTATTATTATTTTAACAAAAATACAACGGAATATCAAATACTACCTTGGAAATACAGCCCAAACCTTTAACGCAGGAACAACGGGGTACGGTTTTGTACCGAATGCCGCTGCCGTCGTCGCAGAGAGCTCCTAATGATATCGTTTCGTTGCTTAAATCGATCGATTCGATATAAAAAATTTGAAATTTCACCAACCTTCTTCCGGTTTAGGTTGACACGTTTTGCCTTGCCCCGGTATCGACAGACAACATTGATAATCCTTACATTCGGAATCGTCTTGGCAGGACGGAAGATGAATTGTGGATGTCTGAAAGGAATAAGAGTCTCGTGTATTTTCTCTCCGCGAAAATTTTTCCCGTTTAATATTTCAGATTAATCGTACAAAGCGAGTGCTTTCTTCATAAAGAAACTGCATTCCTTAAGAAATATGACAAAAATCATCATTTTTAAGAGGTATAGTCATATGGAATGGGCCCACCAGTGGCCGAGCGGTTCTGTCGCGGAACACTGGGAGTTCGGTCGAGGGTTCGCGCTTGGTCAAGATGGGCTGGCAACGTGGAGTTTTACCGGGTTTTATTCACGTCTGTAACGCCTGAATAGGGACCAGTTACCTTTAAGAGATCCCCGGAAGGCATTTTCCCAGCGTAACACGAGTATAGAAGGCAACGGAAAACCATTCTGGTGCTAACCTTCCCCAGGACATCACTCGGCGCAAATTAATCCGTACTAACCTGTGACGGATTAATTGTCCCCAACGTCGAGGTGACCCGATATTGCATATGGAGAGAGAGAGAGTCATGTAGAGTAAATATATAGAACTAGCTGCAAGGACCCGCTTCGCTGGGCAAAAAGTAACGATAGTGAAGATTAAGATAATTACATTATAGCCAATCTTACCCGTTTTCACAGAATGCAAGAATTAGGTCCTCCGTTTCCAGACTAATTAGAGAATTTTACGTTTAGTCAAACGAACTATTTTCAACGTTTCTGGAACGTTTACAATCGTTCTATAATCGAACCAATATTCGAATTTTATGTTCGAATTTAATTCAAACAAATTCGAACAAAACATTCGAAATAGAAAGCCACTTTCAACCACTTTCAG